AAATCACCCCCTGTGAGTGGCTGGCTGAGGTGCCATCTGTTGAGGAAGTACTGAAGGCGATCCGAAGTCTGAGACCAGGAAAGGCACCGGGCAGAGATGATCTCCCAAGCGAAATGCTGAGGGAGCTTGGCGTTTGTGCACAGACTGCCCTATATGACATCATAACAACAGTCTGGACCACTGGACGGGTTCTGCATGGATTGGAAGGATGCCCTGGTGGTCCCCCTCTTTAAGAAGAGGGACCACACAGACTGTAACAAATACAGTGGCATCTCACTCCTCAGTGTGCCGGGAAAAGTCCTGGCAAGGATTATTCAACATCGCCTTGCTAAGCACACTGAGGAGGGCTTGTGGAGCCCGAATGCGGTTTCAGGAAAGGGCGGTCCTGCATAGATGCCATATTTTCTGTCCGTTTGCTACAGCAGAGGTGTAGGGAATTCCAACAAGACCTACATCTCTGCCTTATTGACCTGGTTAAGGCCTATGATACCATCAGTAGGCCTGGGCTCTGGGTTCTTCGTGCTTTCGGAGTCCCTAACCCTCTGCTCATGATCATTAAGAACCTTCATGAGGGTGAGCGGGCCCAGGTAAAACTACATCGCCGGGAGTCAGAGCCATTCCCTGTACACCTTGGGGTGCGACAGGGATGTCCTCTGGCTCCCACATGATTTAACATCTATTTTGACCATGTAGTTCGTGAAGCCTTCAATAGCTGTACCGGGGAAATTTCCATTTTGCACAGATATAATGGGAGGCTGATCGATGCCCAGGTGCGATCAAGGCATGGCTCCCTATTGGTCAACCACGTTATGTATGCCAATGACTTGGTAATAGCTGCTCATTCAGAGGAGGAGTTGGAGACGCTGCTGCTGAGACTGGAGCCTGCCACTAAGAGGTGGGGCCTTAACATCAGCCCCACCAAAACTAAGCACCTGCCTGGGTATTTTGTACCATCGGACACTCCACCCACACAACTCTCAATCGGTGATGGGGCAGTTGTGGAGAGAGTGGAGAGTTTCCCATACCTGGACAGTGTGGTTATGGCGGGCTCCAGTTTAACAGCAGAGGTCTCACTCCGAATCAGTCGAGCGGCAATATATTTTCATCGGTTGCTTAACACTGTGTGGAAGCTACCTGGTCTGTCGCTCCGTACGAAGTTTCAAGTCTTGTCGGCCACAGACATTTCTTCCCTTCTCTACGCTTGCGAAACGTGAACCCCCCTAATGGAGCATCTTCGCCGGTTAGAAACATTTAGGCTGGCCTGCCTACGATCCATCCTGGGTTTAACCAGGCTGGATTGTGTGAGGAGCTCACAAATCCTTGAAAGATCTGGGCAAGGTCCCATTGGTGAGCCCCTCTGGCAGGCAAGGCTGCGTTGGCTGGGTCATGTAGCCCGCATGCCCAGCCACCGCATGCCTAAACAGCTTTTTTTCGGCCGAATCGAGGGGGCTAAACGGGCGCAGCACGGGCTAGAGAAGAGATGGAGTGATGTGGTACAGGAGGACGTGGAGCTGAGTTGACTTGCCCATGACTGGTACCAGCGGTGTCAAGATCGGCCTCTGTGGAGGAGGCTCGTGAAGGACGCTACTGGGCAGTTGGAGGCAGTCGCCCTCCAACAACAACGGAGGGCGGAGGAGTGACGCTCACAACAACGAGCGGAGTGCCGGGTGGCTAAAGCACAGCAAGTTAGCACAATACGGGGCACAGTTGGTGCATCAGCCAGTCATCTCGGTCATCTCAGCCATTCGACCCGTGGTACTTGGGTCTGCCCCGTGGCCTCCTGCCAACGGGCGTTCGACACTTCCCGTGGCCTCAAGGTGCACATGGCCTGGCACAAGCGTCGTGGTGACGTCACCGCCACTTAGTGGCGAATGGCGGTTGTTGTTGTTGTGTGTGAGGAGCGGTAGTGTAGAGGTTAGCGCACTGCACTACGAACCTGGCCACCAGGGTTTGATTCCCGCTCATGGCCAACATCAGTGACGATTATCTGAACCCGTCCCGGGCCTCTCCTAGGTCGACTCGGCCTCAGCTGAGCACCTGGTGCGGTGTGTAAACATCGTCACTGGAGAGACAAAGGCGTCCGGGCGTGTTGTTGGCCACTCACCCGCTCATGTGCCGTGATGGCCTTTATAGGTGCTCGCGAACAGCACTTGCCCTTACAGTCTGTTAAGGCTATACGGGGGATCTTTGTTTTGTCTGTTTGGGATGAGAGCCGCACAGGTGGTGCATCTTCCAGTTATCTCGATGAGTCAACCCAGGGCACCCTGGCTCTGTCCCCGTGACCTCCTGCCGGCAGCGAGCCGTCGACGCTTTCCACGTGGCCGCGAGTCTGCTCCGCGGTGACGTCACCGTCGCGTGGTGATGAATGGCGCCCGTTGGCATTGGATGGGAGCGGTGGATGTGGTGGTTGGCGCGGCGCTCCGAAACCCGCGGCGACCCGAGTTCGATTCGGCAACGCGAGTTCACCCACCCCTCCCCGATGAAGTTTGGAGAGAGGCTGAACGGAGTTCGTGACAAGTCGCGGGCACGCGCCTCCTTGTTGTGGACGCCCCAACGCAGAAGATCAAAACCCACGGGGGGGGGGGGGGGGCGGGGTGGTTTGATTTTCCACGAAAGCTGCTCGCGTTGTCCAACCTCCAAACCGCATTGTCCACTGCACACAGCCAATGGCAGCGGCAGCAGCAGGTAGCTGATGCCACAAATGGACAGTAAAAAACGACGCTCTCTGGCAGTGTGAGGTCTGTGCGTCATCCAGAACAGGGCCGTAAGTACAACGCGAAACGACGCCCCCAGAACCCTATTATTATATTTATTATTATATTTTGGTACTGGCAAAGGAGGTATAATGATGTAGTTGCTTACCCCGAGCCCTCGTTACTTTGATAGTGCATTGTCTTTGAGCTGTTCGCCTTTTGGCGTCCTCTGGTCTAGGTGCTAGACGAGGCTCAAAAGAAATCCGTCTCTGGTGTGGACCAAACAGTTTCAAGGGCAATGCATATATTATCAGTGTGTTTTTGTTTGCATATTGACCACAAGTATTGTGGTTAATGCAGACATGATTCCTCGTAAAAAGGTTTCAGTTTTGTTGTCAGAAAAAAGGGGAAAACCCTATTATTATATATAATCTTGTTGTAACTGCTCTCTCGTTGGTTCAGCAGTTCCACTGCTGGATTATATTGTTTCCGCGTGAGGACGACCGCTTGTGTTGTGATCGAAACGTCATGATATCTTTTATTTTATACCTACGTGACTTTACCGAAAGCTCATGACTCGTTTGCATCACACACCGAGTCATAATCTCAACAACATAGACGCATAGATACTCATAGAGATGCATATAGACTCATAGAGATACATAGGAGATACATGGAGACTCGGTTAAACGTGGACTATTTATTGCCCAATCCAGCTGACTTAAGAACGTAATTAACTAACAAAGAACCCCCGTATAGCTTTAACAGACTGTAGGAGCAAGTGCTGTTAGCGATTCACACTTAAGTCTTGACTTAAAGCTTTCGTGACTGCAGGAAACAGAGACTCATCGAGATACATAGATATATATAAAGACCAATAGAGATACGTAGAGACTCATATAGATACTTAGCGATGTATAGAGACTCATACAGACTCATAGAGATACATAGAGACCCATTGATATTCATAGACTCGTAGAGATATATAGAGATGCACTTGGATATATAGACTCATAGAGATGCATAGAGACTCATACAGACACATAAAGATACATTGAGACTGGGCTAAAAGTGGGCTCGGTATTGCCCAATCTTGGCCAGCTTGCTAAACAAAAGTATTAACTAACAAAGACACAGGTCCCCCGCATAGCCTTCACAGACTGTTGGGGAAAGTGCTGTTTGCGAGCACTTAAAAAGGCCGGCACTTTGGCACACGAGGGGGTGGGTGGCCGCACCACGCCCGGCCGTTTTTGTATCCCAAGTGGCGAAGTTTACACACCGCACCAGGTACTCATTTGAGGCTGAGTCGACCTAGACCCAGGACCGGTTCATGAAATGGATGGAGGTGTTGGCCTTGAGCAGGAATCAAACTCATGTCGCTAACCGCTACACTTCTGCTCCCGCTAATCTAAGACGATCAAACACACACGCGTCAGTTCCTCATGAGATTTCAGTGTGTGTAAGTGGGTGAGTGAGTGGCTGATTGAGTGAGTGGCTGAGTGAGTGGGTGGGTGAGTGAGTGGGTGTGTGAGTGGGTGGGTGAGTGAGTGAGTGCGTGAGTGAGTGCGTGAGTGAGCAGGTGTATGAGTGGGTGAGTGAGCGGCTGTGTGAGTGAGTCGGTGAGTGAGTGAATTGGTGAGTGAGTGGGTGAGTGAGTGGGTGGGTGGGTGAGTGAGTGGGTGGGTGGGTGAGTGGGTGAGTGAGTGAGTGGGTGAGTGAGTGGGTGAGTGAGTGAGTGGGTGAGTGGGTGGGTGAGTGGGTGAGTGGGTGGGTGAGTGGGTGGGTGAGTGCGTGAGTGGGTGGGTGAGTGGGTGAGTGGGTGGGTGATTGAGCTTGTGGGTGGGTGAATGAATGAGTGAGTAAGTATTTATGGGTGAGTTAGTGGAGTAAGCTCATGACTCGTTTGCATCACACTCCGAGTCATAATCTAAACAACATTCAACTCCCACAGAGGTTGTGCACAAGGTGAGTATGGGAGAGAGAGACGCTGAGACTACCCGCTGGTTACGACTATAAGCGAGGGAGCGAAGTTGTACGCCTGTGTGTTGAACTTATTTCGCATCTCACGCAGCCAACAGTGCTAATCGCGAAGGACAAAATATTTCTGGATAAGCGGGTAACAGAACCAGCATAGTTCTCGATAAGAGGGTAACACGTGATAGGAGGGTTCTGGATAAGAGGGTAACACGGGGCAGGAGAGTTCACGATAAGAGGGTAACAAATAACAGGAGCGTTCTGCGTGACCGAGGGCAGTACTGGCGAATTGGTGATGGGCAAAATGTCGCGGAGTTTGCTCGCTCGCTTCACCCGCATTGGAGAGTCGGAGACTTGTAGTAGACGTAGCAGATCCCCAGGGACAGGAACACGGCGAAGATGAAGAGTACGGGAGATCGAGTCGTCAACATGGCGTCGCGTGGACGAAGTCCCCAGGGAATCCTCCTCCTCTCTCTCTTATCACCTCGGGAGCGTCGTCACCCCGCGTGGGTGAGTGGCGGGAGAGGGGAGTTGGGGGAGTTGGGTGTCGGTGTGAGGTTGGAGAGAGGAGTGAAGTTGTAGAGGGAGTGTGGTGGTGGGGAGGGGAGCGAGTGGCTGAGATGTTGCGGAGGGGGGTGGGATTGATTTTGGTGGGAAAGGTGGGTGAGTGGGTGGGGTGGGTGAGTGGCTGCGATGGGGTGTGTGAGTAGCTGCGATGGGGTAATAATAATAGTAATAATAGTTCAATTTATAACGAGCGCAAATTTGCGGACATAATGGCCGTAACTCAGAGGCGCGGAGCCAAGCTCAGAGTCGCTCGAAAGCATGATTGTAGAGGTGAGTTTTTAAGTCTATCTTGAAGGAGGCGATTGAGGTGATGCTGTGAATGTGCAGAGGGATATCGTTCCAGACTGTTGGGGCTGCCACCGAGAAGCGGCGCATAGACATGACCATCCTGGATCTTGGTATCAAGAGGAGGTCGTGAGTCGCGCTGCGCAGGCATCTGCCGTGTGCTGAGTTGCAAGTTAATAATGAAGAAAGATACGGCGGACAGACAGATATGAAGGCAATTGTGGCAGAGGCAGGCGATCTTGTATGTGACCCTACTGGCGATGGGTAGCCGGTTGAGAGCACAGAGACAGGCTAGTGAGTCGAGACGGGGATGAGTGTGGGCAATGACGACGCGTGCTAGGTTTTTTGTAGTCTTTGATGTTTCTTTAGGTTGCCAGCGGAGGTCCGGACTAGGACAGAGTTGCAATAATCAAGGCGAGACCCAACTATGCAACATGCCAATGTGTTGGCAATTTCAGTGGAGATGAAATGACGTAGGTGTCTGAGAGCCTTCAGGTGAAAGTTATATGAACTGATTATATGGTTGGTTTGACGGTCGAAGGATAAAGTTGAATCTAGGATGACACCAAGGTAGCTAAAGTGGTCGGTGAACCTGATGCTGTGACCGAAGATGTGTATGTGTGCTGGGAGTGCTGATGAATTGAGACGTTGCTTGGTACCTAACATGATGGCCACTGACTTTTTCGGATTAAGGGCTAGGTTGTGTGCAATTAACCATTGTTGCAAGGCGGTGGTACATTCCGAGAGCCTCTAGAATCCAGATGCATTGCTAGAATCGATGGCGGTGAATAGAATAGTGTCATCCGCGTATGAGTGGTGCTTAACACCGAAGCTTGCGATGAGCCGGCCGATCGGGAAGTGTAGGCTGTGAAGAGCAGGGGACCTAGTACAGAGCCCTGGGTAACCCCGCATAATGCTCTTGTTTCAGGCGATATGGACATGCCCACCCTGACTGAAGATTGCCGGTCAAAAAGGTACGAAACTATCCACTTGAGTGCTGGGCCACATATGTTGTGATTGTGGTATCATTACTGTGTGCACACGTATGACGTCACTGTGCCCGGAAGCGTTACAACCATGTGGGTCTACACACACACATGACGTCATCCCGGCTGGAGGCGGGAATGACGTCAGGGCCGTTGCTGGACGCGTGACCTGATCCCAGTGGGGGCCGGGGGTCCAGGGGGACCTCGGGGGGCACGTGGACAGCAGGGGGGGCTTCTAGAGGGTGCTCGAGGGGAGGCGTTGCCAGGGTGGGGCCCGGGCACGCCGAGGCCCATATAAGCAGCCGCCTCAGGAGGTTCGGGGCTGTTCGTGCGGAGAATGAAGACGCCTCGTGAAGCCGGGTTGTGTGACACTGCAGCAGCCGGCATTGTTCAGCTATTGTAGCGCAGCGGGGCATGTGCAGTGAACATGGAGGCGGGTGGGGTTGGGTGCAGGGATCTGCTGCCACCCAAAACTCGGGCGACGCCAAAGTAATAATGGAAAAAAATATATAAAAAATGTAATGGAAGATGAAAGTAAGAAGATAGGTGGTGAGTGAAGAAGGACGTGGGTAAGGTACGAGGTGTGGTTAGAGTTGATAAACTGTGAGAGCGATCCGGGACTGCAGCCAGCTGCGGCGCTGTGGGTGAGTATCTGTGAATGGGTGGGTGAGTATCTGTGATTGGGTGGGTGAGTAGCTGCGATGGGGTTGGTGAGTGGCTGCGATGGGGTGGGTGAGTGGCTGCGATGGGGTGGGTGAGTGGCTCTGATGGGGAAGGTGAGTGGCTGTGATGAGGTGAGTGCTACGGATGGCCACGTGGAATGTTCGAACGCTCACTGCGGAGGAGAGGCTGCCACTCCTTTGTCAGGAGCTGGACCGGTACCACCTGGATTTCTGTGGCATTTAGGAGGTCCGGTGGACCGGTTCTGGCTCCTGCCACCATGAGGGGTGGACAGTCCTCTACTCGGGGCAGGAGACTGCCAAACAACAGGGTGTGGCTCTTCTTCTGAACAAAAGAATGAAGGGGGCGTGGGAGCGTGGTGGTGAGGTGTGACATGTGGCAGGGCGCCGCCATCTTGGGCGCGGCCGCGAAGGAATCGGGGGAGGCCGCCATTTTGTCCCCGCCGCGTGGTGCAGCTGCGTCCGGGGGGTGGCGGCGGCGGGAGTCGCAGCCACCGCATGCTGACTATTAAAGAATTCTGCGCTGGCGGGGACTGGAGTGCGTTCGCTTGGTGCTTCGAATCAGCCGTCCGCTCCGCCAGGTGGACGGAGGAGGAGGCGTTGGAAGCCCTGCCGACGCTCCTGGATGATGCATCCTTGAAGTTCTTCTGCTCCATTCCGGCTGAGAAGAAGGCGACGCTGCGGGGGGCTTTCGACGAGATGGCGGAGGCCTACGAGCCTCCATCCGACGCTCACCATAGGTTCGTCCAACGCAATCGTGCGCCGGAGGAATCGCCCGTAGCCTACCGTGGTGCTCTGATTGCCCTGGCCATGGCCACGTACCCAGACACTAATCCCGATTTGCTGGAGCCATTGATACTCGGCAAGATGTTGGAGCTGTCCACAGACCTGGCCATCCCTATGCCCGTGTGTGGCCACGAGCCGTTAACCTCCCGGTTAGCGGCCAAGTGCCTCGACGCACAATTCAACTTGCGCCACTGGGCGCAGATGGCCGTCTGGACGGGCGATCCGGCCGTTGATGGGGAACCCGTAGGATGGGCACCGTCGTGGGTTGTCCTCACTCTGGACGACGTGGGGCCTGGCGACCTCACTGCTGCGACGGGTCATTGGGTTTCATGGAGGGGAGCGATGACACGCTCGGCGCCCTCATCGGTGCCTCGCCAGGACGTCGGGGGGGCCAACCAGCGGGCCGACATGGCATGCTATCGATGCGGCCAACTCGGCCACTTCACGCGTGACTGTCGGGGTCGACCTCGTCCACCTCCTCGTCCGGAGTTCCCGCCGGAGGACACGCCGTCGACGTCGGGAGATGACCCTTGTCAGGCAAGTCGGTATGCATCGGACACCCGGCAAGGCCTGTCACTTCATTCATAATTGCCTGCGTGTGATTTTGGGGCCCGTACTGCTGGGGGGTCCGTCGTCGGGTCGCATCGTACGCAGTGGCAGAAATTGGCTCGTCGAGTGGTCGCAGCCGTGATGGGGTCCTCTACCGTGCCGGGCTCTATTCAAGGGGTGGATGTGCGGATTTTGGTAGATTCGGGCACGTCGGCCACTATCATCTCTGATATAATTTTCCATCTTCTGTCCATTCCTGCGTCGAGGGTACGTCCGGCGTTCGATGCATGTATTGCTGATAACGGGGGTTGTATGGGCATTGTGGGCCAGGTTGATGCACACATTTCCATTGGGGACTTATCAACTTCGGGGACGGTGTTGATTTCCAGGTCCCTCGCTGTACCTTGCCTGCTGGGTACCGATTTCCTTGCTAAAATGCCGATAAAAATTCTGGTGGATCAGGGTTGCATTGAGTTGCCGGCAGGACATAGGGTGTCCTTTTTGCCGTCACCATGGGCCCGTTCAGAACCGGTCCTTTCGGTGCAGGCGCTGGCTGTTGAAATTCCTCTGGGATCACAAATGCTCGTTCCCCTGTGCTATTGTAAGCCCGTGCCTGGTGATGACGAGGCGGTGGGCGTGCTGCTGTCGCCATCCTACACTGCGACCAGCGGCCTAGTGCTGGTTGCAGCTCAGACGATTGTTCGGCCGGGTCAACCCCCATTTTTACAAGTTCTGAACGGGGTGCAGAGGCTGATCGTCAGGGTCTTGCGGCGGGGGTTACAGCTTCAGGATCTCCGAGTTGTGTCAGGAGAACACGTCCCTGACTACACACCCGAAGTCCGCGCTCCGTACGCTGTTGTCAAAATACTCTGATGTGTTTAGCAAAAATTATTTCGACCTGGGGCGCACTTCGCTGCTTTCCCATCACACTGATACCGGGGAAGCTACCCACATACGTATGATTCCGCACAGGTTGAGCCCCTCGGAAAGGGATTATGTTCGTGATGTGGTGGACGACATGCTGGCCGCTGACATAATCTCTCCATCCAATAGCCCATGGGGTGCTCCGGTTGTTCTGGTGTAAAAGAAGGATGGTAGCCTTCGGTTTTGTGTTGATTTCCGGAGACTGAATAAGGTATCTGTGGCGGACGCATACCCCCTGACGCGTATGGACGATTCCCTCGATGCCTTGTCTGGGGCGATATTTTTTTCGACCCTCGATCTTTCCTCTGGGTTCTGGCAGCTCCCCCTTGACAAGTCATCGAGGGAAAAGACGGCGTTCCGTACGCCGCAGGGGCTCTTTCAGTTTAATTGTCTCCCCATGAGATTGAACGCTGCTCCCACTAAGTTTCAACGGTTGATGGAACTGGTGTTGACCAGGCTCCAGTGGGACACCTGCCTGATATATTTGGACGACGTCATTGTGTTCAGCTGTACGTTCGAGGAACACCTTCAGCGATTGGAGGCCGTTTTTGCTAGGATGCGTTCCGCTAATTTGAAACTTAAGCCCAAAAGTGCCACCTCTTGCAACACTCCATGCGCTATTTGGGTCACATTGTCAGCCCAGACGGAGTGGCC